CTTGTATTCTTGTCTATTATAACTATAAACCTGAATATACGTTTCCCGGAATAATCATCTAATAGAAGAAAGTGTGATTTCTTGTCCTGTAAATCATGAAAAAACACCTCCTGTATCTTCTATTAATGTTTGATATATTGTTCTTCAGGTTATGAAGAATTTGTCTCAGTGTAATTGTATAAATACTGCCTGCTCATCTCTCCTTATTAGTAGATGCTGACTAACATTACAAGGTAATAATTGGTTATACTGTATTAGAAGAATAACAATTTATAACAATATTACTTGCAATAAACTTCATACTCTCTTTTCCTATTCAGTGAAGCAAATGTTTCGCTTTATGGCTACACAGTCAGTTTTGCTTTCATAGCTAAGTTTATTTTGTCATAAGGCAATCAGGTGACACAAAAGGATTAAAAGCTACAGGAAACCAACATGTAGCAAATAAATTTGAAGATCATGTTCATCCTGAATAAACAAGTGCCTTTAAAAAAATTCTCTCAACTTTTAACTTCAAACACAGAAAAGTTGAAAAATAAGTACCATAAAGACACATGTGCCCTTTATTTAGATCCACAAATTATTAGCATTTTCTGGGATCGGCTTTGTGTGTCTCTGTCTCTTTTCCTCTTCACATACACACTCATTTTCTCTTACACACACATATGTATACATGCACATATTCACATTTTGGGGAGCGCTGAACTTCTTGAAAGCATATTGCAGACATCAAGATCATACAAAAATATTTAAGGTATTTTTCCAAAATTAGCACATTCTTTTATATTACTTCAATAATAATGACAAGACATTTGCTACTGATAATTAATATTATGTAGTGTACAGTCTATATTTAAATGTATCCACTTGCTCTCAAATATTCTTTATATCTGTCAGGGATCGTATATTGGATTTTTTGTCATGTTTCTTATTTTCATCTGTCTAGAATATTGGTTCCCCTCCACACTTTTCTCTCATCTTTCACAACCTTGACATTTTTTAAGAATCCAGACTAATTATCTCATAGAATATTTCTGAAACTGGATTCATCTAACTGTTCTTCTGGATTAGATAAAATGTTTAGGCAAATATTACATTTCCCATTGAGTTACATCAGGAAGTTTATAATGTCACTTTATGTCAATATTTGTGAAGCTAAGTTTCATCTCTTCATTTTAAAGTCCATATTTAATAAATATTTGATGGGTAATAGAGATATGTGAATGTCATTTTCTTAACAATATGTTAGTGTATAGTGTTAGGAGCAATTTCATGCCAGAATCTCATATTACCTTGGTGGTATTTGCAAAAAGGTGATTTTAAATTTCAGGCATTTTTCTAGACCGGAGCTGGTAGATTTTTCCAGTAAAGAGCCACATTCTAAGTATTCTAGGATTTGTGGGCCACATGTGGTCTCTGTTACATATTCTATTTCTTCTTTAGCTGTGTAAAAATTATTAGCTCATGGACTGCAGGAAAATAGTCTGCAGGATTTGGGCCATGAGTAGTAATTGTGAAAGTCCCATTCTGTGTTATAAAGAGCTTTCCTTTTCCTTGTAACACCTGTGTGTGTGTGTGTGTGTGTGTGTGTGTGTGTGTGTGTGTCAGAGGGAGAAAATGAGATTCTTTAGTAACTATTTCTTTTATAGAGTTGGTATTTTTTAAGCTTTTTTTTTTTTAAATACTCTTGGATTTAACTTTGGTAAATAACGGTGTCTTAAGAAAATTTTAATTTCATCTTCTATGCTTTCTGATACAATAGTCACTAGCTGCATGAGACTATTCAAATTTAAACTAATTATAATGAAATTATAATTAAAAATTAATTAGAAAAAAATTCAGTTTCTCAGCCACATGAGACACATTTAAGTGAACAAGTATTCACTCAACGCACGTAGCTAGTGGCTACATATTGAACAGTGTAGATGTAGGTTATTATGATTTCGAAGTTGGATAGTAATCAATGCAGATTTCAAATGTATTGACACAGAATTGTGCAAAATAGTTCCTTAAAATTAGTTAACATGTTTTTCTTGTCTTTTTTTGCTTTTACGCTTATTTTCTTTCTTACTAATTTGTCTATTTCCTTTTTCTCAAGGTACCAAAGTATTTATTTTATCTACTATTTTTCTGTTTTTAATCTCACATTTTCCTTTCCCTATGCTTTCTTTTGATTTAGCTTATCAGTTTTTTCTTTTAACTTTTATTTTAGGTTCAGAGATACCTGTGCAGCTTTATTATATAAGTGTCACTGGGGATTTGTGTAAAGATTATTTAGTCACCTATGTGGTAGGCACAGTACCTGATAGTTTTTCAGACCTGACCCGCATACTTCCCTCCATTCTCAAATAAGTCCCAGTGTGTGTTGTGTCCATGTGTACTCAATGTTGAGCTTCTACTTGTGAGAACATGTAGTACGTGGTTTTCTGTTCCTCTGTTAGTTCATGTAAGATCATAGCTTTTACCTTCATCGATGTTGCTGCTAAGGACATGACCTCATTCTTTTATGGCTCCATCATATTCCATGCCGTATATGTACCATGTTTTCTTTATCAGTCTACCATTGATGGGCATTTAAGTTGCTTTGGTGTCTTTGCTATTGGGAATCATGCTGCAATGAGCATATGCATGCATTTATCTTTTTTCTTTTATCTTCCTTCCTTCCCTCCCTCCCACCCTTACCTTCCCTGCCTCCCTCCCTCCTTCATTCCTTCTTTTCTTTCTTTTTCTCTCTTCCTTTCTCTTTCTTTCTTTTCTTTCTTATCTTCCTCTTTCCCTTTCTTTCTTTCTCTCTTCTTTTGTTCTTTTTCTTTCTCCCTCCCTCCTTTCTTCCCTTACTCCTTCCCTCCTTATCTCTGCTTCTGTTAGCCCAGCTGGACTGCGGTGGCACTGTCTTGCTTCATTGCGAGCTCCACCTCACAGGTTCAAATGATTCTCCTTCCTTAGCCTCCCACAAGCGCCCACCACCAGGTCCAGTTAATTTTTCTACTTTTTATTAGAGGCTGAGTTTCTCCATGTTGCTCAGGTTTTCAGGCTGGTCTTGAACTCCTGACCTAAGGTTATCTACTAACCTTGGCCTCCCAAAGTGCTAGGATTACAGGTGTGAGCCACCACACCGGCCTCTACCTCTCCCTTTTGTATCCCCCAACTCAAACCTTGCCCATGCCACTCATGCATACCCCCTGCCTTGCCCCATGGTCATTTTGGAGTCCTGCACTAAATGGCCTTCAGTTCAGAGACCAGACATCAGACAGCAATCTGGACCTCTTCCTTGATGGGAGGTGAGACCTCCAGAAGAGCAAGCCTGCAGGCAGAACACAGTGACTCTCTGGGCAAACAGCTAGAACAGAACTGGGTAAAATTTCCAGCCAGAAAGAAAACTTCCCAGTCAACTCTTCCCTGACCCTATTTTACAGATGAAAACACTAAGGTTCAGAGGAGAGGAGACAGAGCAGGCATTGGAACCATAGTCTCCTGACTCCAAAGCCAAGTCCTGTCCACTCAGCCAGGCTCCATCATTCCTTCTGTAAACGTTTACAATGGTATGTGCTGGGCACTCTTGTTAGGCCCTTTTACACATATCACTCAGTCTGCTTTTCCCATTCATTTGACAAGTGTTTATTGAGCTCCCACTGTGTGCAGAGGCTGGACTCCATGCTAGGGATATCTTGGTAGAAAACTCAGGCAAAGTCTACCCACCTGGGGTTCTAACAAGACAAAGAGAGGGTTGGTGCCATGGGCAAGGCTGTGAAGGCAATGAATGAAGTGGTGGGGTCAGACAGGAAGGGTGGTCAGGGATGCTCTCTGCATGGAAGGGGCATCTTCTTGGCTTTGAGACCCAAATGCCAAAATATCTGTGAGTAACAGGCCATGCCCACTCAGTAACAGAGCTGAGCCACAACCCTCCATAGATGCCAAACCAGACACCAGATCATGCCAGCAATGAGGGACAAAGACCATGGCCTGGAAGGGTCTTGCCTCCTGAGCTCACAAGGGGATTTTTATTATGCTTCTTTTATTATTATCGTGGGGTTGGGGGGTCCTTAGGGCACAAGAAACACTCTAGGAACAATAAGTCAAGATCGAGGCTGCAATCCCTGCTCTGCCCTTGCTGTGTGACCTCGGGCTGCTATCACCACCTATCAGGGCCTCAGCTTCCTTCCCCTTCTGTAAAATGGAGAGTCTATTAATACCCACCTGGCAAAGGAATCCAGGAAAGTCAGTGAGCTCCTTCATGTAAGGAGCTGATGTCTGCACGTGGCCCCGGGTCAGAGATTTGTAATGGAGATTGAAATTACTGATAAGTGGCCAGGCATGTTTGCTCACACCCATAATCCCAGCACTTTGGGAGGCCGAGGCAGGCGGGCCACCTGAGGTCAGGAGTTTAAGACCAGCCTGGCCAACGTGGTGAAACCCCATCACTACTAAAAATACAAAAGTTAGTTGGGCATGAGGTGTGTCCCAGCTACTTGGGAGGCTGAGGCAGGAGAATCTCTGGAACCCAAGAGATGGAGGTTGCAGTGAGCTGAGATCATGCCACTGCACTCCAGCCTGGGCAACAAGAGTGAAAGTTTGTCTCAAAAGAGCAAGCAAGCACTTACTGATAATCTTACAGATTGTCAGAGGCACACAAGGGACTCAGAGGGGGGACCACACTCATCCTCTCACACACACAGAGGGGAGCAGTCTACCTACCCTAGACCATGCAGTGACTGGCTGTCAGCAGCTGCATAGCCCCAGCTCTCGATTATGGCCCAGGGCTTCTGATCTGCCCTGGAGGGGCCCTTGTGCCTCCCCTTATGACCTCCCTTCCCTTCCTCAGTTTAGCTCTTCTCTGTGCCTCTGTTTATGGCCAAAGGCTGGGGATCTTATGAGTTTGAGGCAGCCTGAGCCTCTGTCTGTGCTTTCACCCAGAGCCAGAGCACCAGGAGGGGACCATGCACATCAGCTGTGATGCTCCACCGGTTCAAAACCACCTAAGGGCTGGCTGGTTGTGCATGTGGAGGTGGGGGTGCTGTTCTTCCTCCAGGTTGACAACATGATAGATTGAAAAACACATGGGAGGCTCAGTGCAGTGGCTCAGGCCTGTAATTTCAGCACTTTGGGAGGCTGAGGCCAGTGGATCACCTGAGGTAGGAGTTCAAAACCAGCCTGGCCAACATGGTGAAACCCCATCTCCTAAACATACAAAAATTAGCTGGGCGTGGTGGCATTTGCCTGTAATCCCAGCTACTCAGGAGGCTGAGGTGGGAGAATCACTTGACTCCAGGAGGCAGAGGTTGCAGTAAGCTGAGATCTCACCACTGCACTGCAGCCTGGGTGGCAGAGTGAGACTTCATCTCAAAAAAAAAAAAGAAAACAAAAAAAAGAAAAAAAAAAGTAAAAAAAAAAAGTGCATGGGCTCTGGAGGCAGAGAGGTGGAGTTGAATCCCAGCTTTTACTTCTCAGCTGTGTGCCCTTGGACAAGTTCACTTCTCTGAGCTTCAGTTTTCTCATCTGTGAAATGGGAACAACATTTGGCTTGCCCGGGGTCTTAGGATGGCTGGGGAGTGTCTGGCACGTAGTGGGTGCTCAAAGTGCGTGCTTTCCCATGGCCATCTATGAGTCCTAGGGCTGCCCTCCTGCCTTTCCCCCACAACTCCTGTGACTGCCTCTTAAATGGGTACTCAGGGTGATAAGGAGGCACAGGTGAGGGAGCCAGGCTGGATCCACACCCACCCACGCCCATTGTTAGGAAAACAAGCTTTTAATGCCTGGCCCTGCTCCTGGTGGCTGAGCTTATAAAATGGGACCCAGAGCCAGCCTCTCCCTTCCTCTAAGGCACACCAAGGCAATAGTGTTTAAAAGGAAAGGAGGCAGTGGCATGAAGGCTCCAGAGACTGAGCTGTTCCTTTGGCAAGAAGGAAGACAGTGGGGCCCACTGCTGAGGGCCATCTGACAGGTGTTCCATTCTACGTTCTTCATGAGACCCGCAGCCTCTTCATCAGTGGTGTCTTCAGGTTCACCGTCCCCAAGCTTCTTAGGTGAGTCCAGACTTCAGGAGCTCTGCTAAGGCTGGTGGTCTCTTAATGGCATCCCTCCAGAGTCAGAGGGCTTCAGCTCTTACGCCTCTGCCTATAGATCTAGTGCTCAGGACACTGGAGGGTGGGTGAGAAGGATACTGAAAAAGTGAAATGATTAATGAGAAAGTGACTGTGCCCCCAGAAGGGCAAATAAGCAAGCTCTTACCTGACTGTATAAATTAGCTTTTGTTGTAAAATGCCCCAAAAGTGAGTGGCTTAAAATTGTAAGCATTCGTTTATTTAGTTTATGGTCAGTAACATGGACTGGGATCAGCTGGGTGGTTCTTCTTTTCTTGGCTGCGTTTTCTCATGTGCCTGCAGCTGTGTGTCTGAAGCTGGGATGGTTTTCTGTTCCATGTGGGTTCCCATCCTCCAAAAAGCAAGCTCAGACTTGTTCACGTGGCTGCTTGGGAGGGGTCTAAGCAGAAGGCCAAAAGCCACATTTTCTCTTGAGGCTCACAGCTGGCATAGCTTTACCTCCACTCTACTTTGTTGGTCAAAGGTGGTTTTGTGGCCAGTCCAGATTGAAGTGGTGTCTGCTCAGCTGCCGTAACAGGGCATTACAGACTGAGTAGTTTCAATGACAGAAATGTATTTTCCTCATGCTTCTGGTGGCTGGAAGTTCCAGATCAGGTAACTGCAAGTTGGCTCCATCTGAGGCCTCTGCCTTTGGCGTGCAGTTGGCCACCTCCTCCCTGTGTCCTCATATGGTCTTTCCTCTGTGTCCACCCTGGTGTCTCCCTGTGTGCCTACATTTTCTCCTCTTATCAGGACTCCAGACTGGATGCAGGCCCAGCCTAATGACCTCATTTTAACTTTATTGTCTCTTTAAAGGCCCTATTTCCAGATACAGTCACATCCAGAGGTACCGGGGGTTGGGGTTTCAACATACAAATTTTGTGAGGACACAATTTAGCCCATAACAAGTGGGGAGAGAAACACCATCTCTCGATCTTGAGGAGCTGCAGTCAGATTGCAAAGAAGCATGGACAGTGGGGGAAATAACCGAGATCATGATTGTGAAAAAGCCAACCACGCCAACTGATCCTCCACACCTGGCCTGGTTTCGGCAAAGGCAACACACCTGGGCACCTCCTCTCGCCAGCTGTACCTTTTCCCTCCTTCCCCTACAAGCCTTTTCCTGGAGTTTATTGGTGATCCCAAGTCTCCAGCCTGGAAGGGCTACCTCCTTGCGGTGCTGATGTTCCTCTCGGCCTGCCTGCAAATGCTGATTAAGCAGCAGAACATGTACCGGCTCAAGGTGCTGCAGATAAGGCTGCAGTCGGCCATCACTGGCCTGGTGTACAGAAAGGTGAGCCCCGGGGGACAAGTACAGGCCTTCCCAGCTGGGAAAAGGAACATAACCGAACTGGTTGGTAGTAATGCTATCAGCAGCTGAGAAGGCTTTCAGTTCTTATTAGAGTCACTCACGATATATTCTCACTTCCTTTATTTTTCTTTATTTGTATGTATTTATTTTTTCAAGACAGTCTCCACCCACCGTGACCTCTTAGAGTGCTGGGATTACAGGTGTGAGCCACCTCACCTCGCTCTTGTAAATGGTTTTAATCATCCTTTTTTACTGTTCTTCAGCTGGGGTTATGATCTCAGCCCTGCTCCTCTCTGCTCCTGCTAAGGGAGTCCCTGTAGGCAGCCCAGTCCCTGCCTCTGTCTAGGAGACAGCATACCAGAAAATTAAGTTGGGTTGATCCTGCCTCAGTGCTGCTTCTGTTTTAGGTAAATATACTGTGGGGTTAGGGAGAGAAAATCCCAAGTGCACCTGTGGAACACCATGGGCATCCCCCAACTCAGGACTGTGGGAGAGAGAGGGTGTTGGAGGAGAGGTAAACCTGGAAGCTGGTTAGCCCCACTCTGTCCCCTGCCCTGACCGGGGGATGCCCATGGTGTTCCACTGAGATGGAGTCTTGCTCTGTCACCCAGGCCTGGAGTGCAGTGATGCAATCTTGGCTCACTGCAACCTCCGCCTCCCAGGTTCAAGAGATTTTCCTGCCTCATTGAGTAGCTGGGACTAGAGGTGAGTGCTACCACACCTGGATATTTTTGCATTTTTAATAGAGCTGGGGTTGCACCAAGTTGGCCAGGCTGGTCTCCAACTCCTGACCCTCGGCGATCCACCCACCTTGGCCTTCCAAAGTACTGGGATTCCAGGTGTGAGCCACCATGCTCAGTCGAGCCCTGCTCTGTTCTAATCTCACCACCTGTGAAAGGCTTCTGGGAGCTCACAGAAACAATGGCCCCAGTATGACGGCTCCCACTCACTTGCTCCCGGAGTTCTAGGGATGCACAGTGAGGAGTGATCGTTTTCCTCATTCATCTAGATGTGATGAGCCTGGCCAAAGAAGTTTGCTGTTGCTGACTTGCAGCTGGTCAGGCCCCTGCCCTGTCGAAATTGCCCCCACTAAATCCTTATGCCTCAGTTTACTCAGCAAACTCAGACCTCCAGCCCTGCCCCAGTCTGGGTAAGGCTCCTCCCTGTCATATCATGTGGGAATCTCCTGCGTGATACTTTATTTATTCATTGATTTATTGAGATGGGATCCTACTCTGTACCTCTGCACTCCAGCCTGGGTGATAATCTCACCTCACTGCAACACCTGCCTCCAGGGTCCAAGTGATTCTCCTACCTCAGCCTACTGAGTAGCTGGGATTATAGGCACATGCCACCATGGCCTGCTAATTTTTGTATTTTTAGTAGATGGGGGTTTCTCCATGTTGGTCAGGTGGGTCTCAAACTCTTGACCTTGTGATCCACCTGCCTCGGCCTCCCAAAGTGCTGGGATTACAAGCTCACACGGTGCCTGACCCATGTGACACTTCAATGAAGTCAGGTGTGTAGGTGATGGCTGCCTGACCATCTTCCCACCACAGGGCAGGGCTAGGGGCTGTGTTGTCTAGAAGTTCCTCAGCTCTTTATGCTGGTAAGGGAAGAAGGAAGAGGGGGCCCTCAGGGGACATGCGGTGAGGTTTGGTGGGGACATAGCTAAACAGATTGTACTTGGTGTTCCCATGTAACTTGTAACTGCTCTCATAGAAGGTGACCTAGAACCCCAGGGAGTGGGGGGTTGCTCTCTATCACCTAGGGGTGGGGGAAAGAGAAGCTGAGGCTGTACAGAGCCAGCAGGCAGGACAGGGCAACCAGGGCCAGGTGCGGTGGCTAATGCCTGTAATTCCAGCTGTTTGGGAGGCTGAGGCAGGTGGGCCATTTGAGGTTAGGTGTTTGAGACCAGCTGGCCAACATGGTGAAACCCCATCTCTACTAAAAATACAAAATTAGCCAGGCCTGCTAGTGCATGCCTGTAATCCCGGCTACTCAGGATGGTGATGCAGGAGAATCGCTTGAATATGGGATGCTGAGGTTGCAGTGAGCCGAGATCATGCCATTGCACTCCAGCCTGGGCAACAAGAGTGAAACTCAGTCTCAAAAAAAAAAAAAGAAAGAAAGAAAGAAAAAAGAAAACGAACTTGCTCTGCCAATGTGGCTGCAGGTACAACCCCCGATATGTGCCCCCTGCCCTGCACCTGCTGCACCGACATCACCCAAGAACCCCAGCTGTGGATTCGAAGTCCTGCAGTGCACACGGCATGGATTTGCAGAGCTGTGAGCCTGGGGTCTGTCCTGCAGCAGGAGACACAGAGGAGGGAGCCCTGGGTTTGAGCCACAGGCAGCCTGTGGTGTTCCCCTGCAGGCCCTGGTCCCCTTGTGTTTTGTGACACTCCCCCATATGCTCACACAAGCCACCCCCATTTTCAGCATGATTACAGATGCTCCTTGACTCATGATGGGGTCATGTCCCCATAAATCTATCAAATTGGTAATAGCAGCCAAATGGAGTAGCTCATGTCTGTAATCCCTTTGGGTGGTCAATGTGGGAAGATTGTTTGATCCCAGGAGTTCAAGGCCAGCCTGGGCAGCACAGAGAGATCCTGTCTCTATGGGGGAAAAAAAAAAAAAAAAGAAAACAGTGAAAATATACTAAGTTGAAAATGCGTTTATTTATTTTTTGAGACAGAGTCTTACACTGTCACCCAGGCTGAACTGCAGTGGTGCAATCTTGGCTCATTGCAACCTCTGCCTATCAGGTTCCAGTGATTCTCCTGCCTCAGCCTCCAGAGTGGCTGGCATTACAGGCATGACCACTGGGTAAATTTTGTATTTTTAGTAGAGGTTGGGTTTCACCATGTTGGCCAGGCTGGTTGAGAACACTCGACCTCAGGTAATCTGCCTAAATCAGTCTCCTAAAGTGCTGGGATTACAGGCATGAGCCGCTGTACCTGGCCTATTGATTTTTATTTTTATTTTTATTTTTGGAGGTGGAATCTGGCTCTGTTTCCCAGGCTGCAGTGCAGTGATCTCTTGGCTCACTACCTGCAACCTCTGCCTCCCGGGTTCAAGCAATTCTCCTGCCTCAGCCTAGCGGGTAGCTGGGACTACAAGCACCCTACCATACCTAGCTAATTTTTGTATTTTTAGTAAAGACAGGGTTTCACCATGTTGCCCAGGCTGGTCTTGAACTCCTCAGCTTAGGCAATCTGCCCACCTCAACCTCCCAAAGTGCAGGGATTACATGTGTGAGCCACCATACTTGGCCTGCAAATGCATGTAATACACCTACCTTACCAAGCATTGGAGGTTAGCCCAGATGACTTTAGGTTGAAAACAAACCGAGCAGTACTAAAAGGAGAACAAAATCCACTCACCCTTCCCCACCTTGGATCATGACTTTGACTTTTCAGGGGTCAGCCTTCATGAAAGTTTGTAGAAATAGATAATAAACTTGGATAAATGTACCCACGCTTAAGTGTACATTTCAATGGCATTTGGTAGATTCATAATATTGTGTAACCATCGCCACCATCTGTTTCTAAACTTTCTCATCTCAAACAGAAATGCTGTCCTCATGAAGCAATACTTTACCTACTTTAAATGTTTATTTACTTATTTATTTATCTGGAGACCATGTCTTGCTCTGTCTCCCAGGCTAGAATACAATGGCGCAATCTCAGCTCACTGCTGCTTCTGCCACCCAGGTTCTGAGCAATTCTCCTGCCTCAGCCACTGGAGTTGGGATTATAGGGGCATGCCACCACACCCAGCTAATTTTTGTATTTTTAGTAGAGACGGAGTTTCACCGTGTTGGTCATGCTGGTCTTCAACTCCCGACCTCGTCGTGATCCACCCCCCTCAGCCTCCCAAATTGTTGGGATTACGGGCGTGAGCCACTGCACCCTGCCACTCCCAGGCATTGTAGTTTTCTTTCTTTTTTTTTTTTTCTTTTTCAGATGGAATCTTGCTGTTTCAGCCAGGGTGGAGGGAAGTGGCTCGATATTGGCTTAATGCAGCTTCCACCTCCTGGGTTCAAGCAGTTCTCTTGCCTCAGCCTCCCAAGTAGCTAGGATTCCAAGTGCATGCTAGCAGGCCCGGGTAATTTTTGTATTTTTAATAGAGACGGGGTTTTGCCATATTGGCCAAGCTGCTCTTGAACTCCTAACTTCAAGTGATCTGCCTGCCTTGGCTACCCAAAGTGCTGGGATTACGGGTATGAACCACCATGCCCGCCCCATCTTTTTTGAGAAAGGGTCCTGTGGTGTCACCCAAGCTGGAGTGCAGGGTTGTGATCTTGGCTTACTGTGACCTCCACATGGTGGGCTCAAGCAGTCCTCCCGTTTTGGCCTCCCAAGTAGCTGGGACTACAGGTGTGTGCCACCATGAACTGGCTAATTTTTGTATTTCCAGCAGAGAGGGGGTTTTGCCATGCCATCCTTGCTGGATTTGACTCTTGGAGTCACGTGATGCCCCTGCCTCAGCTTCCCAGTGTGCTGGGATTACAGGCATCAACTGATGTGCCCAGGCAGTTTTAACTTTCTGAGGAATTATCAAACTTTGTTAAACACAGGCTGAGCCATTTCCCTTCCCCTTACAGTATTTAAGGGTTGCGATTTCTCTCTGAGCTTGCCAACACTTGTTAATTTACATGTCTTGGATAATAGCCTTTCTAGTGTGTGTGAGGGAGTATGTCGTGGTTTCAGTTTAAATGGCCATAATGATTATGATACTGATCATGTTTTTATGTGCTTGTTTTCCATTTGCATGTATTATTGGCCAAGTGTGTGTATGTCATTGTGTATGACATTGAGTATGTCATTCAGTTTAGATGGCCATAACGATAATGATATTATTCATCTTTTATGTGCCTGTTTTTCATTTGTATGTCTTATTGGTAGAGTGTGTGTTCAGCTGTTTCTCCATTTTTTAATTTGGTTGTTTTGTTGTTGATTTATACAAATCACACACTGTGGTTAACAGACTGTTAGATATGTAATGCACAAATATTTTCTTCCTTTCTGTGGTATGTGTTTACATTTTTTTTTTTGAGATGGACGGACTCCTGCTCTGCTTCCCAGGCTAGAGTACAGTGGCATTATCTCGGCTTATGGCAAACTGTACCTCTGGTTTCCAATGATTCTGCTGCCTCAGCCTCCCAGGTAGCTGAGATTACAGTCTCCCACTACCTTGCCCAGCTAATCTTTTATACTTATTTATTTATTTTCGAGACGGAGTCTTGCTCTGTCACACAGGATGGAGTGCAGTAGCACCATCTCAGCTCACTGCAAACATCACCTCCCAGGTTGAAGTGATCTTCTTACCTCAGC